TTTTTCAACGGATGGCGTGCGCACACGCAGACAACGATTTCCGTCGATTGAGCTTGCGAGCTCCTGAGCCACGCCACTCCGAGCGACAGCAACGAACGGAGATCACACCCTGACCGGTTTGGCGTCAATCGGTGGGCTAGGGAGCGAGAAATNAGACAACGATTTCCGTCGATTGAGCTTGCGAGCTCCTGAGCCACGCCACTCCGAGCGACAGCAACGAACGGAGATCACACCCTGACCGGTTTGGCGTCAATCGGTGGGCTAGGGAGCGAGAAATCAATTGCGCTGTTGTCGCGCCTCTGTCAGAACGCGGCTTTTTTTCGGCTTTTTTGCCCTCTCGTGACGTTTGGGAGTCTCCACGTTTGGTGTGATGCGAAATGATTTTTTTACGCTCGTGTCCCGACCGAGAACCAACAACCAACGTGTGGAACAGCAAACCCTTGACCATAGGGTTCGTCGGAGCCCTTGGTGGGAGCGATACGTCAAGAACTCAGGTCGCACTCGCTGATTTTGTCTATCGAGGTGTCCACAACCCCAAGTAAGATCAAGATGCAGTTTTCCATACACAACACGTACATGCAATAATCTTCATCTTGGGAGGGCGTCGCTTTTATCTTGCCAAGGTTCTGAAGAATCAAGATCAAGATTTGTTTGCGATAAACAGTGGTCTTATTATGGCGGCGGAATCTCAATCTTAATCTTGATTTTTGGTGGGGCGGGGGGGGGTCGATTCAAGAAATATCTCGAATGTACGCCGATGGGTTTGAACCCAAATGCCCCGGTTTGGACGCCGGGCCAAGGCAGCAGTGGAGAGCACGGAGAGGGTGGCGGGATGATCGCACACCGTGTGGGTAAGCACCCAACAGGGAGACGGAAAGGGTCCAGAGCTGGAGAGCCACGCCGCTCCGGGACAGGAAGACACCTCGCTCGGAAAGGCAAGCACCGGGTTGTTGTTGTTGTTGTTGTTTGTCTTCACGTTAAACCGTATGTCAGTTGCTAAATGCCAAAATCTAGCAAAAGACTCTCAGCCCGTGGTCACGAAAGTGCTAGAGCCATCTGAGGATCTAAAGAACACGCACACAT